AGCAATGATAAGAACTACATTAGGACATCTTATTGCAAGGGTGTCCTCAACTGCGATTATAATTAATTTCAAATGACTCTAAATTTTAATGAATTTCGTGAATTTGAATAGATTTCAACATAATCCATAAGAATCTAATTAAAAATGGTGAAACTTCAAAAGAGTTTCTTATGTGTATTTTTAAGTTTGAAATCCATTCAAATCTTTTGAACTTCTAAATCCACAAGTAATTAAAGATGCCTAAATTTAATGGATTTCATTTAAATCCATTAAAACCTTAATTGCGGACACCTGAATTTGGAAGAAATTTTAAAATTAATGAAAATCTTAATTGAGCACAAACCTCCAGATTTTTAAACAACTTGATGAACTCGTCACAAACAAGGATCATTAGTTTATGACGAGACTCTAGATTTCATTTAAATCCATTAAAACCTTAATTGTGGACACTTGAATTTGGAAGAAATTTTAAAATTAATGAAAATCTTAATTGAGCACAAGCCTCCAGATTTTAAAACAACTTGATGAACTCGTCACAAACAAGGATCATTAGTTTATGACGAGACTCTAGATGGGAAAACACAAGAAGGCATTCATTCAACACTTTAGGATGGTTCTGTTATTCAGGTGTTCTCAGAACAAATTAATCTTGATTTTTGTGCCATGTTAAGTAGATTGAGATTCTCCACCCGTTGAAGAAGTGTATAGGGAGGAAAACCAGTTTTGAACTTGAATTCTTCTTTTGGTCTTTATTACGTTCGATGAAGATTCTACTCAGTTTTGAACAAGTTCCTACAGTAGTATGGCTACTGAAGGAAATAACTATATATCTAGCCAAATACGAGCCATAATTTTGCTGAAAGTTATGATTCTCGGACTCGGGTACGTGCACGTATAGAAGTGTCAAATCTTTTATTTTTTAAAATGTAGGAGACATAGTTAAAAATAGTCCAAATTTCGAAAACGAGTACGTGAGTACGTCTTTTAAATTTCAATTTTTATTTATTTTTAACTAATCCTACATATCATTTTGAATAGATCAAAATCAATTATTCACAAAGAAGGAAATGAGTATTGAATAAGGGGTTAAAATGAATAAAATAGAATTTTGGGGTATAGTATTCAATTATGAAAATTATTAAATGTTATATAAAATAGAAAATGAGGGTTTTGACTGCAATTTGGATTTAGTGGAACACTAAGTAGCACTATATGGAATCTATTTTCATTTTATACAAGCAAAACCCTAAACCACTTGTACACAGAGAGAAAGAAGGGAAAAAAGGAGAAAATTGAAAGAAAAAAAAAAAGAAGAATTAGAAGAAGGGAAAACCTAGTACCACCACCTTTCTTCATCCTCTCGGACACAATGCTATGTTTATAGAGAGAGCAGAAACGGGAAAAAAAAATGAAGAAAAAACGACAAAGTGTCCTGTTGAAATTTGGAGGATCCGACATAAATCTCATACCCATGCCCGTGTCGTATCGTGTCCGACACGTGTACTCCGATTATTTCAAAGAATCCGAACATCAGAGGCTGAAAGTGAGATCTATGTCTGCTGCTTGTCCAAAATCTTTAGGATCTGCCACAATGAGTTTTCTGCCTTTGGTCTGTAAGTTCTCAGATAATATTTAGATATCCGAAGTTATTAGTAAGCCAAAATAATAGAGCTAGGAGTGGGATATAGAAAATATGTATGGACCTCATTTCGAATTTTTGACACATACCTTTTGCAAAAACAAATTTCAGCAGCAAATTCATACAAGAAAATTTTTTCTAGGGAAGTAACATATTGATCGTTTCTTTGGAAGTCAAAACTCCGGTATGAGTTCTTGTTGTATGATGAAACAAACAAGAACCTGATTTATAGAAGGAGAGAAGAGAAGAGGAGAACAGGGGGAGAAAGGGGAGAAGAGGAGAAAGAAAAGGGGAGAAACTGAGAGATGAAATCGAGGAAAGTATTATTTATTCAATTCATCAAAAGTGTAACTATAGAATGCATTAGCTCCCTTTAAGTAGGGTTAAACTAATCTGATTTAAGTTTGAAACTACCAATAAAATACTAGAAAATCTATAATATAATACCCTAATTACTTTTCCTAAAATAAGATCTAAACTTGGAAAGTCTTCGTATAATATGTTTAATAGGATCCTCATTAATTCTTCTTCAAGACAAGGAGAACAGATGCAAGAAGTACTTATTTAAATGAGAAAAAAAAATAATAGGTGCCATTGCAGCACAGTTGTTCACTACTTTGTCAATTACCTAGGACTAGGAGCATCGAAATATTGCTTTTGTGAATTATATATTCAGCTTACCAGAAGCAAGAGGTTAGCTTCTCCGTTCCTAAGCTAAGTCAT